CCCCCCCCCCCGGAAGATCGGACCTGAATAAAACGGGACATTCCAGCATTCGTCCGTCCGTCCGCGTCCACTTCCGGCCGCTTTCGTCGAACAATGGCCGGGAACAGCAGGTCGCGAATCCATCACGGCGAATTGGACGTGAGACCTTCCGCGTACGCGAGATGATCTCACCGGAAGCGCGCCGCGGATTTATATAATTGATAGATGTTCAATCTCGCAAATTGTACCGCGGATCGTCTCCGAGCGCGCGCGATGGTTCCTCTTAATGGCTGACTTCACTTGTTCCTCTTGTTTGTGCGCAGGTTCGTCCTCTTCAAGCGGCACTACGACAAGTACATGGCCCTCTCGGCGAAGTACGAGGAAGCGAAGGATATCGCTTACTACCTGGAAGAACGCTATCACGAAGTCAAGGTAAGGTGAATCACTTTTGTCTTGCGATTGGAACTCGATTCGGCGCGATAATAGCTGCTATCACTTTTATCTGATTTCCGTGCGCGGAATTAGAGAAGACAATTCTACTGCAGGCGTGCGTTTCTGTCTGCGGTACTAAATATAAAAGTGAGATATACGATCTCTGAGGCAATCTAATCTTTATCCAATTTCTGCAGTCCTACCGATGGCAATCGCACTGTAACGTAATTCGTTCCTCGACGCTTTTATATGTACAGAGTGATTCTAAATAAATGCGAAAAACTTTAGGAGATAATCGAAAATTAAGGAGAATCTTCTATGTAAACATATACTTCTACATTATTGAAGAATTACACTCTCCCAAAAGAGGAAGTGAAAATTAGGTTTTTATTTTTTCTCAAATGTTGGAAAAGTTAAAAAAATGAAATTTCAATGCAAAACGGGTTGCCCATTTGACAACTGCGTACTGACATTTGTTAATTCATTAAAAATCTATCAATTTGATAGATTCTTATAATGTTGTGTATAATAACGTATTTTATTTTTTTACTTGAAAACTATTGATACGAAAAAAATAAAAGAAATAAAAAAAGTTTCTAAAGGAATAAAGCTTTTTAACGCATATTTTCATATGATCATATTCCGGTCCACTAGAAAGTCCTAATAAAAAATTGAATAGGGATTGCTGGTCTCATCCTCTTATAACTACACGGGAGGATTAAAAAACATAAGTAGCTTTTCTACCAGTGGAAAACGTCCATGAGATTTCATTTTCTAACTTTTCCAACATTTGAGGAAACAAATAAAAACCTGAATTTCCCCTTTGGAGAAATATAATTCTTCAGTGAGGGATATATGTTTATATGAAAGATCCCCCTTAATTTTCAACAAAGAATTATCTCCTAAAGTTTTTCGCACACTTAGAATCACCTTGTATACACACACGCGTACACATATACGTGCCATTTTATTACGAGCAACAAAGGAAAATTGTATCGCGCTTTCCCACGTTGAATCGCGATAGCCCGCCCATTGTTGGTGCGGCACGATGCATCAACTCCCACGGTACATTTCGCCGCTATTGTCGAGACGATTTTGCGCCGCCGCGTTCGGAACTTTTTATTCGCGCATATTTTAATCATACCTGTGAATACTAATTTGGTACACCTATGTGCGAATCTGCTTCGAGTCGCGCTGTGAAATTTGACTTTGTTCCTCTTCTCAATTAAACACACCACGGAGCTGACCTCTTCACAGTTTTTGAGGTATTTTTGAGAGTGTAATTTTTTACAGTTTGAGAGGTAATTGCATTTTTAAAGTAGTTGTATCGCTAAGTAATACAGGAATATTAACAATATTTCTGTTGTTTTTTTTTTATATTAGAGGAAGATGTGATGTAAATTTGTGGAGTGAAGTATGGAATAAATATGAGGAATAAATTGTGTGGTTAGAAAGGGATAAATATCGTGGTCGGGCAAAACTCTTACAACAATTTATTCCTTACACATTTTCTTTTAATAGAAAAGGATTTAATATTAAGGAATATTTTAGGTAACTCGCCTTATATAACCACGAATAATTTAGTCGATTGGTAAAATTAATTATTAATCGAACTTTGAGTGATTATATATTGATTAATCAATCCGACTCGTATTTTTTACCAACCTACTCTGTGACATGTACGAAAAACACGCCGTATTTCCTGCACATTAAAAGAGTTATTCATTCAATTTATCGAATAAAATTCTGTACATTCATTTGACATCTCAATTAAGGAGAACCTTCTATATAAACATATACTTCTACATCGTTGAAGAATTACACTCTCCCAAAAGAGGAAGTGAAAATTAGGTTTTTATTTTTTCTCAAATGTTGGAAAAGTTAAAAAAAATGAAATTTTAATGCAAAACGAGTTGCCAATTTGACAACTGCGTACTAAATATTTGTTAATTCATTAAAAATCTAAATTCATTTGTTAATTTATTAAGAATTTAAATTCATTTGATATCTCAATAAATGTTGATTTGAGAGGAAACAAAGTTGAGATTAATATATAAGAGCTGGTTCACACATAACAACTTCATATCTCTACGGAACTATGCGATCAATTTTAATCGTTTCGAATTTCATAAATCCCAGAGATGCATTTGCAAATTCTGCTTATAACTTCCTTAAGAGGTCGTCGTACTCTGTTCGTCAGGATAAACGACGAAGACGGTGTACCTCGCGCCGAGAAAGGGGAAACGCGATAGAACGGCATCTTTCGTTCGTCATCGCGAAGATAATTGACTCGGAAGAGTCGGAGGTGCCTCTCTTTCTTCTCACATTTACCGCTAAGCTTCTTTCGCTCGGCTTCATTATTAGCGTAATCGCTTGGATTCTGTTACGAAGTGGAAGAAATGAACGTCGCGAAGTGAAATTCTATACCGATGTGCCCGTTAATCAGTGTCACGCACGGCGACGGACATCCCGTCGTGATTAATGCGTCGCGAAGTAAAGCTGCGGAACCGCGCGCCTGCGAAACATTCCGCATTCTCATCCCGATCTCGCTCCTCCCCAACCTCCGCGATACGTGAAACGCGATCTCGCGCGAACCAGAAACCGCTCTTGAGATCCGCGGCGGGAAAGAAACGCCAGGCGATGTGGAACGCACGGAGGATGGCCGACATTCGATGAGGCCGAACAAAAGTCGCGGGCGGTTCTTTGTACGTCAACCTGGGGCCTGATCTAGCGCGGAAGACAGATTGTGCGTCCCGCACAACAAGAACACGCGTATACGCGAGCGCGAACTCGATGTCGTGACGATAGCCATCAAGATCCCCAGTCCTTCCGCGATCTCATTAGTCGTGGCGCTCGACGATGCTATCTCTCGCCCCGCGGCCGTCGATCGTGAGTTAGCCCGGCGCAGTGAAATCGAGTCTTCTTTCTCGCGATATTGCTCGCGGAATCGTCGTTTCGCGAGATCGAAAGGCGGGGAAGGGACTCTCCGTGCAGGGAGAAGAATTGAGACGGAAGAGAGCCGGTTAACCACTTCGCTGGCAGAGAAAATCAGCATCAACCGATCAAAAATGGCATGATCTAAATGCTGTTTGATTTTTGTAAAAGTCAGTACTAAAGTACTTTTCAAGTCGCTGAATACGAATTTGAGATCAAAATCTGAAAGTTCAAATTAATGTCAGATTCGAAATCAGCGACCCTAAAAATCTCAAAGTACCGAGTTCCATCCAAATCAAGTCACTTTTCGCATTTTGGTCCGCTATATTGAATTTTGAAATTTTAAGCTAAGAGTCGAAATCAGTGACCCTAAAAATCTCCAAGTACCGAATTCCATCCAAATCAAATCACTTTTGGTCCGCCATATTGAATCCGCTATCTTGTATTTCGAAATTTTAAACTAAGACTCGAAATCAGTGACCCTAAAAATCTCAAAGTACCGAGTTCCATCCAAATCAAGTCACTTTTCGCATTTTGGTCCGCTATATTGAATTTTGAAATTTTAAGCTAAGAGTCGAAATCAGTGACCCTAAAAATCTCCAAGTACCGAATTCCATCCAAATCAAATCACTTTTGGTCCGCCATATTGAATCCGCTATCTTGTATTTCGAAATTTTAAACTAAGACTCGAAATCAGTGACCCTAAAAATCTCAAAGTACCGAGTTCCATCCAAATCAAGTCACTTTTCGCATTTTGGTCCGCCATATTGAATTTTGAAATTTTAAGCTAAGACTCGAAATCAGTAACCCTAAAAATCTCCAAGTACCGAGTTCCATCCAAATCAAATCACTTTTCGCATTTTGGTCCGCCATATTGAATCCGCTATCTTGTATTTCGAAATTTTAAGCTAAGACTCGAAATCAGTGACCCTAAAAATCTCCAAGTACCGAGTTCCATCCAAATCAAGTCATTATTCTATTTGGTCCGCCGTATTGGATCTGCCATTTTGAATTTGACAAAACTAATCTTAGATTCGAAAGCAGCGACCCCAAAAACTCTCAAATACCAGGTTTCATCATAATCAAGTCACTTTTCGTATTCTGATCCGCCATATTGAATCCGCCATTTTAAATTTTCAAATTTAGAGTTCAGATTCGAAATCACCAAAAACCCCTGGGAAACTACTGAGTTTCATGAAAATCTTGCTAACGGGAAAAAAATAAAATGATGTGTGTCAATGCCATTTTTGGTACATCCTTTATTTGACGCAAAAGTGCGTCAATTTTAACGAAGTGGTTAAGAAAGCACCCGTTCATTTTCCCAGCTTGATCGTTCTACCGTGTCCATGCTTCTTGTATCTTCCTTTATCGTCTGTGAATTCTTCATTTGGATCTTATGATTTCTTATGAAGATTTGATAAGTATCCTCGCGCAATTAGAAAGCACAGCGATACGAGTAGCCATCCCGACGATGTCACGATCGCCAGGAATTTGAATTGGGAAAAGCAGGTTCGGTGCGGAGTGTTTTTCCTTCAGCAGAATCGATCGCGCAAATAACGTAGCGCGACGACCTCGTAAAATCCGTTTCTGCTCACGACGAACGTGAGGATTGCTCCTCTCGTCGTGAAACACGTTGCTACTTACAAAATTCCCAAGTATAAACTTATACAGGACGTGCAGCGTAGTGGTTTTTTAGACACTTCCGATAGTTTAAGAAAAAGGCTCGAAGATGAATTTCCAATTGCTTCGTGCGAGTAACAGAAAGTAAAAAAGAAATATTTATTTTCGTAAGAAAATCACTTTTCAAATTTTTCAAATGGCATCATACACTTTTTCTTATATAATATTGTAGAGAATTTTAAGATGAATTCAACGCACTATCAAAAATGTCACTTTTATTAACAACAATAGTAAAACAATAGAAAGACTAACTTATGAAAGGCAAATTGCTCGCCTCCTTCTGGAACACAAAATTCTGCTCTTCTTATTTGAAAACGAGATTTGAAGAACAGCTACATTTCTCTGCCATTGTTCACAGGTATTTGATCTTTATCTAGCTTAACTCT